GTGAAATCTGACCTTTCACTTCTACCCAGAAGAACTTCTAAAATCTTTTCTCCAATGCCCGATGAAGGGCATTTGTGCCCAAAAGCTTGCAATTAAAGCATTTTTTTTTTGCAAAAATCTTGGTCTAATGAAAGATATCATCTCTACTATGAGTCCTGATTGCCTTCATTCCCTGGGGCACCAGGCATGCTTTTGATGGTGGACAGGTCTGAATGTCTGCCGGGATCAGGGCATTGGTGTAGTCAAGGCCTGTGTGTTGCACCCTTTATCTGGGTTTGGCTCAGGGAGGTTCATGGGCTCTCACCTAGAGATTTGACGGAGCCCACAGGCTTTAAGAAGATGCATCGTGTGTGTTGGAAACATGCACATCTACACGCTCCAGTCCCTGCAAGAGCTGAGATTATTCTGAGTGACACAGCCCAGAAACCCAGCGGGACCTGAGCTGATGACATGGTAGGCTGGACTGGGAGCTCTCTGCAGCACATGCTATCTGTTGTGTTGCTTGTAAAGTACACAATGCAATGGGACCTGCACAAAGTCCCAGGAAAAGATCATCAGGAAGATGAGACACAAGAGGCAGACTGGAGGAAGGAGCAGAAGTACATCGCCGGGCACAACCACTGCTGCGTATCACCTCCTCTTCCCGCGTGGTCAGCCTACAACCTTGATCCCAGCTCGAACTTCACGGCACAGGGCAAGAGAGCAGCTCAATTTGTAGCTAAGATGATTCAGGTTGGAAATCCAGGAAATGTTTTAGTTGCTGGGACAGACTCCATATGGGGACTCTGACTTCTCCGTCATTGGAGGGTTTGGAGACCAGGTTAGAGAAATGCCTGGCGGGAAGGACTTGGAGACTTTGTCCTGCTTTGGTGCAAGGCAACATCTCTTCTATAACTCTGTGAGTCTCCAATACAGGCCATTATACATTTGGAAAGCTGCTTGCACCCAGCACGCGGCAGTAGTGACCAGTGTCCTGGTTTCCTTTGCAAGGAGGCAAACATCCCCGTCGCCGCTCTCGGGAAGTTTGGATCACGGCACATGCTAATTATATCAGCACCAATTTCCAGTCCAAATTCACGTCCCCAGCAATGTAATGAATTGGCTATTAATGGTAATACCAAGGCAGCTCGGCTAAACCTGCCCCTTTTTTAAAAAGCACCCTTTTTACACACATCCCAAACCAAGGCAGGTCTCTGCAAGGAGGAAAGGAGATAGGAAGAAAGCACGGAAAGCAGATCCCTTTCCCTATGGGTGGAGATAGACATTGCCTTTTTGCCACCATAAAAATGCTTAGGGAGGCACAAAAGCCAAGCAAATAGATGCCCATACCCCTTGCTAAATTTGAACACAGCATTGCAAAAAAAAAAAGGAAAAAAAAGTCATTTTTCCCCATTTCACTCGTATTGGGGCCTTTTGTTTCCTAACATTTCCAACCGTTAAAAAAAAAGCTCTTTTATTGTCCTGTTTTTATTTTATCTTTCTGCAAGCATAATTTCCAGCTCCTTTTCCTCAGCATAACCCCATTTAAAAATTGGAAAAAATTTTGCAACCCCAAAATGATGCAAAAAAGGCCCCCCCCCCCCAC